TGGCTGCTCCGTTCTCTCATGTCCCCTCTGTCCCCACCCATCCCTGTCCCCTCCATCCCCATCCCCTCCCCATCCCTCCCCTGTCCCAGTGCCACCCTGTCCCAGTGCCACCTTGTCCCCAGCCCCACCCTGTCCCATGGCTGCTCCGTTCTCTCATGTCCCCTCTGTCCCCACCCATCCCTGTCCCCTCCATCCCCATCCCCTCCCCATCCCTCCCCTGTCCCAGTGCCACCCTGTCCCAGTGCCACCTTGTCCCCAGCCCCACCCTGTCCCATGGCTGCTCCGTTCTCTCATGTCCCCTCTGTCCCCACCCATCCCTGTCCCCTCCATCCCCATCCCCTCCCCATCCCTCCCCTGTCCCAGTGCCACCCTGTCCCAGTGCCACCTTGTCCCCAGCCCCACCCTGTCCCATGGCTGCTCCGTTCTCTCATGTCCCCTCTGTCCCCACCCATCCCTGTCCCCTCCATCCCCATCCCCTCCCCATCCCTCCCCTGTCCCAGTGCCACCCTGTCCCAGTGCCACCTTGTCCCCAGCCCCACCCTGTCCCATGGCTGCTCCGTTCTCTCATGTCCCCTCTGTCCCCACCCATCCCTGTCCCCTCCATCCCCATCCCCTCCCCATCCCTCCCCTGTCCCAGTGCCACCCTGTCCCAGTGCCACCTTGTCCCCAGCCCCACCCTGTCCCATGGCTGCTCCGTTCTCTCATGTCCCCTCTGTCCCCACCCATCCCTGTCCCCTCCATCCCCATCCCCTCCCCATCCCTCCCCTGTCCCAGTGCCACCCTGTCCCAGTGCCACCTTGTCCCCAGCCCCACCCTGTCCCATGGCTGCTCCGTTCTCTCATGTCCCCTCTGTCCCCACCCATCCCTGTCCCCTCCATCCCCATCCCCTCCCCATCCCTCCCCTGTCCCAGTGCCACCCTGTCCCAGTGCCACCTTGTCCCCAGCCCCACCCTGTCCCATGGCTGCTCCGTTCTCTCATGTCCCCTCTGTCCCCACCCATCCCTGTCCCCTCCATCCCCATCCCCTCCCCATCCCTCCCCTGTCCCAGTGCCACCCTGTCCCAGTGCCACCTTGTCCCCAGCCCCACCCTGTCCCATGGCTGCTCCGTTCTCTCATGTCCCCTCTGTCCCCACCCATCCCTGTCCCCTCCATCCCCATCCCCTCCCCATCCCTCCCCTGTCCCAGTGCCACCCTGTCCCAGTGCCACCTTGTCCCCAGCCCCACCCTGTCCCATGGCTGCTCCGTTCTCTCATGTCCCCTCTGTCCCCACCCATCCCTGTCCCCTCCATCCCCATCCCCTCCCCATCCCTCCCCTGTCCCAGTGCCACCCTGTCCCAGTGCCACCTTGTCCCCAGCCCCACCCTGTCCCATGGCTGCTCCGTTCTCTCATGTCCCCTCTGTCCCCACCCATCCCTGTCCCCTCCATCCCCATCCCCTCCCCATCCCTCCCCTGTCCCAGTGCCACCCTGTCCCAGTGCCACCTTGTCCCCAGCCCCACCCTGTCCCATGGCTGCTCCGTTCTCTCATGTCCCCTCTGTCCCCACCCATCCCTGTCCCCTCCATCCCCATCCCCTCCCCATCCCTCCCCTGTCCCAGTGCCACCCTGTCCCAGTGCCACCTTGTCCCCAGCCCCACCCTGTCCCATGGCTGCTCCGTTCTCTCATGTCCCCTCTGTCCCCACCCATCCCTGTCCCCTCCATCCCCATCCCCTCCCCATCCCTCCCCTGTCCCAGTGCCACCCTGTCCCAGTGCCACCTTGTCCCCAGCCCCACCCTGTCCCCTCCACGGCTGCTCCATCCTCTCTACTTGTCCCCTGTCCCCATCCCTGTCCCTTGTCCCCATCCCTGTCCCTTCTGTCCCCATCCCTCTCCTGTCCCACCACCATCTTGTCCCCCATCTCTACCCAGTTTGTCCCCAGCCCCACCCTGTCCCATGGCTGCTCCGTCCTCTCATGTCCCCTCTGTCCCCACCCCTGTCCTCCCCCACGGCTGTTCCATCCTCTCTACTTGTCCCCTGTCCCCATCCCTGTCCCTTGTCCCCATCCCTGTCCTCTCCATCTCCATCCCCTTCCCATTCCTCCCTGTCCCAGTGCCACCCTGTCCCAGTGCCACCTTGTCCCCTCCACGGCTGCTCCATCCTCCATCTGTGTCCCTTGTCCCCATCCCTGTCCCTTCTGTCCCCACCCCTCTCCTTCCCAGTGCCATCTTTGTCCCCAGCCCCATCCTGTCCCCTCCACAGCTCCTCCATCCTCTCTACCTTTGTCCCCTCTGTCCCCACCCCTGTCCCCTCTGTCCCCATCCTGTCCTGTGCCACCCCGTCTGGGGGACAGATGGGCCCCATCTCCATCCTGTCCCCTCCATCTCCATCCCGTCCCCATCCCGGTGCCATCTTGTCCCCCAGCCCC